TCTTCTACATAGTCGCCGTGACAACAAGAACAAGTTGCAACGAGCTCAACCCACTTTTATCGACTTTACTTTTTTATCTCTTTCCACAATGAATTGCAACTTTGCGCATGTCCATCCATTGGCTTGATGGACGAAAGCGGTGCTTGTTTCCGTCCGATACGAAGGAGAGTTAGTGTTGGGCCACGCAAATCTGAAGGTCGTAGCAAAGTCGGCTGACTGCCGAACAACGAGAACCATCCGTCGTCTTCCTGGGAGGCTGACCTTCGACTCATTTCATCAGGCACACTTTCATACGAAATGGAACTCTGTCAACCGAAAGTCATCTACTCCTCGTGTAGACAGCACAAAGTATTTTAGGTTTCTTGACATCTGTTTCTCATCAAACTGAGGCCTTGAAGCAAGCCTTCAATTTATTGTCATACCGACACATTAAATGACTACTAACAGTGCGTCAGTAGCATATCGAGTTCAACTGTAAAAAATGCTTCTTTTTCAAAAGCAACAAGTCCTTATTGTAGAGCTTATTTTCATTTCGTCTCATACCTCTCCACACTCATCACCACACCCACCACCACACACACACACACAAACACTGCCAGACACCACACCCTCGAAATGCAACGAACCCTGAGCTGTAGCAAGGGCGAGTCGCCAGGTCGGTTTGATTGGTTGTGCTGGTGACAAGAGAGTCAAGTCAAAACGCTCGGCAACCTGTAACAAGTTGTGTGTGTGTGTGTGTGTGTGTGTGAGCGAGTATCAGGTTGGGCCAGGCCCGAGGCATCGTGGCCAAAACGGGCCGATGCTGGCGGTGTTTATTTGCGCGCCGGGCTCGAAAGGCATCGGCTGCTCGAACAGCCAAATTGTGGAGATAAATCAAAATGGAGATAAGACTTATTTTTTGGTCTCTACCTCCGAGTCTGCATCGGTTGACAAGACAAGATGTAGATAATAAAAGTCTGTAAACAAAGTTTGCTCAGATAAAGCAGATGTTTGTAACATCATTAATAAATAGAGAAAGAGAGAGAGAGTAAAAGACAGAAATGCATCGTTCGAGTAGCCGATTCGCATTCGCATTGGCAACCCGAACCCGGTGGGACGATGATGAGGTCAACAGCTCACGAGCGACAAGAAGCTGCGGTGTGGACGAAAGACACGAAAACACACATGCACACACACACACACACAAGGATAGAAATGGGCACTGCCGGGCGGGAGATGGCTTGATTTTGGTATGAATCCGGCCAAGTGATTGGCTACTCGAGTGGCATCGATAAGCTTCTGTTCGGCCTGACGTCTGCTTACATGAGCGAGAGAGCAAGAGGAAAAAAGCGAGAGAAAGAGGAAGAAAGGCACAAGAAGATAGTGGCCGTGTGATGGGGTGGTGTTGCAATGGTGCTTGATAGACGAAGCAACCGACGGGACGGGACAAAAAGTAGTCTCCACCGTGTCCAGGTAAGCAAAATAAACATCTCAATCGGATTGTTCAGCCACTCCGGCCGAGCTGGGGGCCAAATGAAACCGGCCCTTTGCAGACCGCCGGACGACATGTTAACAGGCCGACAAGCCCGGTTCGCCGAGTCGTGACGTCGCGAGCACATGACACAGGCAACACCAAACAGATGCATGGCCAGCAAATTGCAAATGTGCATAAATGTACAGACACACACACACACAGATCTGTATGGAGCGATTTCAGGCAACGCCAACTTGAACGCCATGACCATTTTCTCTTCTTCACCTTAATCTTACTGTTATACACATGTGTGTGTGTGTGTGTGTGTGTGTGTGTGTGTGTGTGTGGATGGGAGGAGAGGGGTTGTCTGTGTGTGTTGGCAGTTTGTTGTGCTGTGGGGTGCTGGCCGGCCTGGCAGATGGCCAAGCCGGTGTTCGAATCCGCCACGGGGCAACATGGCCCGAATCGCCTCCGGGGCTCGTGAGGCAGATGAGCCGAGTCAGCAACGCTGCGTCCGATTGGCGCTCGGCTTTTCCTCAATCCCCACGACGGAAGTACAGCAGAACAGCCACACCCGAGACTGCCGACGTGTCGCCATGTCTACACATTCGACACAGTCTCAGTGTCGCCAAGGCAGCCTGTCATGACGACAGTATGAGTTGCAGTTGTCGGTCCGATTTGAACCTCCCTTTGACACCTCATCGTGTGTGTGTGTGTGTGTATGTGTGTGTGTATTGGAGAGAGCAACAAATTGTGTCGCTTTTGCCCAGGCGACACTAAACCGAGTTGCAGACATGACGAGAAACTGAGCCGTTTCCAAAATCGCTCAACTCATTTTGTGCTGTTGTGCGACGAAAAAGTTTGCGAGGGATTCCAACTTTGGCCGAACCGTGAAATAAGTCGACATCTTGACGTTTTGGCGGTTGATTCGAGTGAAAGTGTCTTAGAATTGCTCTCTTTTGATGCACGCCTCGATTCATTCGAGCCGAGCCTTGTTTGGCCAGGCCTAATGTACAAGTAGACCGTCCAGTACCAAGCATGTTTCCCCCTCCAGCCCGTCGCATCGTCTGTTCCACAGCCCCAACAGAAGATGGATCCGGATCGTCTTGTCCAGTTGGAATGCAAAATCATTTGGTTCAAGTCAAATTCGCTGTCATGCGAGGTGGGAAATTCAATTATCATTTCCCAAATGCCCTAAACAGACCGAGGTTGCCAAGGCTTATATTCAACAATTGGCGATAATCTCGAAGACAAGAAGATGCATTCTCTCCATTTCCTTGAAGCTGTTCAAAGACTGGTCGCTGAATTTTCCCGCATTTATTTGATTAGATTATTGGTAATCCGGAAAGCCAAATTATGAGCGAAAAAAACTGGAAGAATATTTGTAGGAAATAAAATCATTTTTCGCATTAGAATGAGACCAATGAACGAATCTCATCCGTCTGTCGCTTTAAGCTCTTTTGGTACAGCATACACTAGCATACACTAAAGCTAAACGGTACAGTTGTATTGTCAGGACGAACGTGTGCCCACGATAGATCTGGCTGCAGACACGAGGACAAACTGCAAGTCGTCAGTTGTAGAAAAATCTGAGAAGCGAAAGATGTATAAGCAGAAGAGAAGGGGGAAGAGGATCTGCCCGTCACAGAGTCTGGCAATCGGGTCGGTTCACATGTTGGCCGGTGTCAAGCCGGTGCCACTCTCTTTAGGGATTCTCAATGTCTCAGCAACTGCTTTCCTTTTCCAGATCACTTCTCACAAAAGGACTGTATTCTGCCTATTTCGTTAAAGTGATCGAGGTCTGGCAAGTCAATTCTCCACAATCGTACCAACAGGCTGCATGTTTCCATTCAACTTTACCATCGTTCTGATGCTGTTGATGTTGCTGTTGACGTGGATTGTATGACGACGGTGGTGTTGTTGTTGCTGAAGCGACCTGAACTGGCCGCAAAATTGTCTCCAGTTTTCGACTCGACTCTACTTTTAGCCTGTTCCTTTCGAATAGGCGGGCGTAGACGTGTTGACTTCATTTTACATTCGAGGGGAGATTTGTGATCCCACCTGAGCACGATGGCAGATTTCACATCGGAATCAGACAAGGTCGTCAAGGCAGTTCTCGTAAACGAGGAGATTTCTCCAAAGCAGCAGAGATTTTGTTGAACTGGCCAAAATGCAACATTAGTGCCAATTGCAGTCTAAAGTACCAATAAAAACTTCCTTTTGACGTACAGATTACTAATTCTATCTATCCTTCTATCCATCGAGCTATCGTTCTTTTTTATTTCTTTATTTATTTTTTTATTTCTTTATTTCTTTCTTTTTTACTTACTTTCTTTTTTCTTTCTTGCTTTCTTTCTTTTTGATTTTTTTTCTTCCTTTGTTTCTTTTTACTTTCTTTTTTTTTTCTTCCTTTGTTTGTTTCTTCCTTCCTTCTTTTCTTTCTTTTTTCTTTCATTCTTACTTCCTTCTTCACTTTCTTTCTTTCTTTATTTATTTCTTCCTTCCTTCTTTCCCTCTTTTCTTCCTTCCTTCTTTCCTTTCTTTCTTCCTTTCTTTCTTTTTTTTTTTTAATCCTTTCTTTCTCCCTTCCTTCCTTTCTTTCTTTCTTTTTTTCTTTCTTCCTTCCTTCCTTCTTTTCTTCCTTCCTTACTTTCTTCCTTCCTTGCTTTGTTTTTTTGTTTCTTCCTTTCTTTCCTTCTTTCTTTCTTTGTTTCTTCATTTCTTTTTTCTTTCTTCCATACTTTCTTCCTTCCTTCCTTTCTTTCTTTATTTTTTCCTCTATTTTTTTCTTCCTTTCACCCTATCTTCTTTCTTTTTCCCTACTTTCTTCCTTCCTTCCTTCCATTCTTTCTTTCTTTTTTCCTTTATTTCATTCTTTCTTCCTTTATCCCTATCTTCTTCTTTCTTCCCTACTTT